AACCAGTGACAAGGCTCTGGTTTTCTTTTTTGTTTTTGTTTTTATATCATGGGTAAAACCATGACTGTTTTATTTCTTGTGAACTTGATAGTTCTTCTTATTCTTGAAAATGTTGACCATGCTTGCTCAGTGGCAATACTCTGCGCCAAATATTTGGTCTTAGTTAGGTTTTGTAGTCTCTGCTCTTGCTTTTTGATTTTAAAAAAGCACATTTTCAATATCTAGTATACAGTCTATGTCACATCTCTGTCTTTATATGTATTAAGTCATGCCATATATCTGTAAAGTCATATTTTGTAATAAGAAATGTCTTCTTCTAGATCCTTCTCAATGGATATATTCTAGTTACTTTGTCTTGTCTGGTAAATATTCTGTTTTAGTCACTCTATATGCATTTAAATATCGATCTCTTTCAAGTCCACACCCTTGAGGTCCTCTCTTGACTTTCTTTTTTATTGAGTCATACACAGTAGCAGTTTTAATGCCAATGAAAATATGTTCTATCTTTACACTTTTATATGGATTCTGAAGAATAAATTTCATTCTCTACTTGTAGCTGCATTTTATTAACTGATAAAAATTTACTATTTCAAAGTCTTAGAAACATTTGCCAAACATTTTCAGGCCTTATTGCTTAGTTTATTATATCGTGAGAAAAGGAATAAGAGTCAGGAGTTACCAGTTACACAGTCTGAATTGACAGGAAGACTGTTCTGTTGAAAAAGTAAAACATTGTTGCTTCCTTAAGAGAGAAGATGGGGAAAACCGGGAAGCTACTTCCTCTTTCTTTGTGACTGTGTCTTCACTTTTCTCTTTAGCGCAGACCCCAAAAAGACACTCTCAGTATCACATTGAGGCTTATTGGTACCATACTCTGCATGTGTAGATTCACTAATATTCTCCAAAGCAGACTGTTCGCTGGAAGGTATCTGGTTAGAGCTATCTCTCACTGCAAATTCAATGTTATAAGGAATAGCATCCATTCTTCTTCTTGGTCTAGATTTTAAAGTAGAGTCGAAAGGAAAGAGATTCAAAGGGATTATTTTCTTTTCCTTTGTACGAGGGTCAACTGAGGTTATAGAATAATCCTCTAAATGTTCCTGTAAAGTTTCAGATATATGAGTTGGGTATTCTTCTGAGGAAACAGTGAAAGTGTTCCAAGGTATGGCAATCTGAGTTACTTTTTGGGAGGAGACCTTTGTTTGAAATGTCCCTTTTGACTGGCCAACCTCGTCTTCACAAGGATTGAAAAAATCTTGAAATTCATACCTCTTTTGAAAGCTAACTGAAGATGTTAAAATAGAGCTTGCCAGTGACTTCTGGAAGGCACTGTCTTCTGTGTCACGCTTAGTGTCCTTAGGGGTACTTCTTGCAAAAGGGGTCCCTGGCACTTTAAAGGAGTCTTGACTAAAAGATGGAACTGGAAACTCTGAACTTTGTTGCAGTTCCTTTGTGCTTGTAGGTATCATCTGTCTACTTTGTGATTGGTGTATCGATCTGATAGACACATGCTCCTGGCTTCCTTGTGTAGGCTCCCTGACTGAAAAATCTGACATAGTCATTTGACTACCAGGAAAGAGGTCATCACAATCAGAAGAAGTCTGAAACTGTTGATGACATATTTTTATTCTTTTATGAAGCATTTTATTTTCTTTTTGTAATTTATTTCTTTCTTTAGTGAGTTCAGCAATAAAGAAAAGATTTCGTTGTTGCATTTCATAATAGGCTTTCTCTAGCGTAAGCTTGTATGTTTCTTTCATTGAACAGCGGTCACAGGTTTTGGCCTTTAACCGGTCTTTTAAGTCATTAATGGTGCCCTGCAGGACTCTCTGCTGTTCAGTCAACTCTTTAATTTTGGCTATGGAGCCCGTCCACCTCCCATCTGACAATCGCTGTTTCCTCAGACTTGTTAATTTTGCTTGTAAACGCCGCAGCTCTTTATCATGGAGTTCTTTGAGCGTCAGCCATGTTTTTTTAAAACGGTCACATTCCAAATCACGTACGCTAAACTGTGATGACTCTCTTCCTGAAGATTTCTTATCGCCTCTCCTCCCTCTTCCACCCGCGTTCCCTGCCTGCATCATGTTCACAGATTTGGAAATGGGAGGGATGACCTTGTCGCTCGACAACAGTGGCGTTAAGAAAATGGCAGACTTGCTGTTGATGGGAGCTAGGCCGCTGTGAGGGCAAGCCCTTCTACCCCTTTCACAGACCTTCTCCGAAGTTGCCTTAGGACACGGGGCGAGGGGGATGGGTGCTCACAGTTGGATGGAAAGTCCCGGGTTTTCGCTGGAAAGGAGGCACCAACTTTTCGGTTGGAAGAACTAACCCACAAGAGACGGAAGCCAACGCCCTCAGGCAGTGGCGTGGCAACTTGCCCTTTGACCTGGAAACGCAGGGACTTCTGGGGGAGCCTAGAACGCAGGCTGGAGACGCAGGGACTTCTGGGAGACCCCAATCTCCTCTGAGTAGAAAGGCACCCAATGGCAGATAGGGAGACCAGAAGTCACTGCTAGCTTAATTTTTTTTTGTGTTTTTTTTTTTTTTGAGATGGAGTGTGGCTCTGTCGCCTAAGCTGGAGTGCAGTGGTGCGATCTCGGCTCACTGCAACTTCTGCCTCTCGAGTTCAAGTGATTCTCCTGCCTTAGCCTCCTGAGTAGCTGGGACTAAAGGCATGCACCACCACACCCGGCTAATTTTGTATTTTTAGTAGAGAGAGAGTTTCACCATGTTGGTCAGGCTGATCTCGAACCCCTGACCTCGTGATCCGCCTTCCTCAGCTTCCCAAATTGCTGGGATTACAGGCGTGAGCCACTGCGTCCAACCTAAGTTTTAAAACAAGTCAAATTTTAAGTCTATTTTCAGTTTTATTCTTGATGATTAGCATTTTGTAATCATTGAAATCTAGCAATATTCGTCGTCTTATAAAACAATTGGAAAATTGGAAGTAACTAAGTCACCCTCCACTCATCCCTCATCCTCCTTGCCCCTCCATAAAGCCAACATTGTCTCGTCTTCCATCTTTATCATTGAGAGGTTCCAGCTCAGTTGGGAATTAAGTCATTTGCCTGCTTTTGTGACAACTATGCGATTTTTACAGTTAGAGGAGGATCTGCTGACAACATTAGCTCAATCAAAGGAGGATAAAAAAGGAATGGAAAGACAAGTGGTGGCACTGTTTTTTTTGTTTGTTTTTTTTTTTTTTTTTTAAGAAGAAATCTCAGTAAGTAGGTGTGTTGGGGAAGAAATGGGTAGAAAAGAGAAGTATATGTGATAGATCTAAGAGACTTTTCTGTCTGAAGTAGTTGTTCCATAGATAGATAGGACATCAGAGGTTATAATCCAAGGGCAAAGAGAAAAAGGAAAGTTATGTGTCTCTTTTTCTAAAGTTTATTTATTTATTGAGATGGAGTCTTGCTCTGTTGCCCAGGCTGGAGTGCAGTGGCAGGTCTCGGCTCACTGCAGCCTCTACCTCCCAGGTGCAAGCAATTCTCCTGCCTCAGCCTCCCGAGTAGCTGGAATTACAGGTGCCTGCCACCATGCCCAGCTAATTTTTATGTTTGTAGTAGAGACAGTGTTTCATCATGTTGTACGGGCTGGTCTCGAGCTCCTCAGCTCAAGTGATCCGCCCACCTCAGCCTCCCAAAGTGCTGGGATTACAGGTGTGAGCCACCACGCCCGGCCTAAAGTTTAAAATGCTTAAACTTTTTGATTCACAGTGTCCTATGAGCAGCAGGCAAAGGCATTTGACCTTCTCAGAAAAGTGCACATAAACACACCATCTTGCATAAAATTTTAGGGAGTTCATTAAAAACACTGGATCTAAAGTAAAAACACAGCTTCCCTTCCTCTGTCTTCAGAAATGATACAAAGATTCAGATAAGCCACCCAAAAGGACATACACAAAGCACATAAAAAGGATCATTGATGCTGAAATAATTACCAATTAAATGATATATTTGGGATTAATTCAAAAGAATACAGTGTATGTGCTGGGCAGTGGGAGGGGAGAGGAGAATATAGATGAAACAAGATTGGCCTTGAGTTGATAGTCCTTGAAGCTACCTGGGACTTGAGGATTCACTGTGCTATTTGCTATAATTGTTTCAAGATCTAACACTTTATTTATTTCATTTTCAGATACTCTCTTAACTTACTGGAATAAAGTGTCTCCCCAGGAGCTCATAAACATTCTTATACTTTTAGAGTAAGTTATATTAATTTATCTTCATAAACTTTCCCCTTATTTGGGGAGAATTTAACTGTTAACCATTTTTTCTGTTTTTAATAGCTTATTTGCTAATAATGTAGAAAATGTTAAATTATTTTGATAATATAGAAGCTGGCATATAGGTTCTTTACCTGTAGATAGAAGCAAAATGTGAACGTGGAATACCTGCTATATTCCTGAAAACTCTAGCTAATAATGAACCATCTTTTCAGCCCAGCCAGAGGCTTTCTGTGATCTGAAAAACTAGAAGTGATATCAGCTGTCCTATATCATTCATTTAGAAAAGATGCTGGATTAGTGGAGCAGTGCAAATGATTGGAATTTAGAATTTATACTTTTATGTAGAGCTGAGTAATTCTACCCACTGTAGAAATGTGTCTGTGTGTGTGTGTGTACACATATATATGTATACACATATATATGGAATACATATATATGTATACACATATATATGGAATACATATATATGTATACACATATATATGGAATACATATATATATGTATGTACGTATTACAAGACACTTGGGGGAAAACCTAGTCTGGAGATGGGAAGTTGTCCTATGTTTCATCCTGAGCTGTTTTAATATGATTATTGGAAGCTAAAAGAAAAATTAGACATAGAATGAAATGCAAGAAATTTTGTAATAGTACACATATATTGGCAAGACCAGCTCCCAATACATCAGCATGGGTTTAAGATCTCTCAAAGTGATTGAATAGTCGGTGAAAAAGAAAAGAGAGGGAAGGAAAAAGTTTTCCTTAAAGCTGGGCCCAGGGGAGACACCACATAATGCTGTTCCGTGGATGTCTGACATTCCCCTGAAAACCTCAGTTTTTATTGTGCTCTTTCAATAGAGGAGGGGGAGCGAGGTTACACAAAGTTTCAGTGATAATTACACAGAATACATTAGCAAAAACTTACGCACAAAAATCACAACATGGTATTATAAAAGCAGAACAATGTAAAGATAACTTTCTGTGTGTCAGCATAGAAATCATACACCTTAGCAAGAATATAGGTTAAACATAAACTTATGATTATCAGCAAGAACATATTGGGCTCACAACTATAGGGGAAACAGGATCTGACACAGGACAGCCAGGCTGACTTCACAAAAACTGCAAGAGGAGGGGCCTCCATGCAGGCTGGAGGAGCAGTGGGAGAAGAAGGACTTTTACATCCTTATCTCAACCACAGAGACAGGCGCCCCTCATGCGTCCGTTTATGGGCTCTCCATAAGGGTCGCATTCCCTTTCCAGGGCCCTAATCAATATGCCTTTCCTGGGAAAAGAATCCAGGTAATAAGCCTCTCTATTACACGTCCGTTTATAGGCTCTCTGCAATGACAAGCCTATTATGAGCTGTCATCTCCGACAGTCAAGCTATGTGGTTAGTCCCTTTCACAGAGTTCCTGTTTTTACCAGAACAGTTCAGCAGAGCCACAGTTACAAGTTGTAGCTCAACATTTCACATTATCCTTCATTTTCTCAAATATAATCAATACAGCAAGTAACACAAAGCAAATAACTTATTTTGGAGAAACCAAATTCTAGGAGAATTTACAGGTTAAAAATCAACAACTTCTTGTTATTTCAGATAGCTTGGGTTTTGCCAGTTCTTCCAGAAGCTTGGGGTTGTTCAGTCACCATAGAGGGGTTCAGAGTATTCCCAACACACATACATGATTTCTATGTGCATGTCTACAAAAACAAAGCATATGAATACATAACCCTTGGATTAGAGTCTTAACAAACTTTTGCAGAAAATGTCTGGAGAATAAACAGCAGTTAAGATTTTTTTTAACTACTGTAACTGTACTGAAATATTTGCTAATGAAACTATCTGATGTTGGAGATTTGCTTTAGAAACACAGGAGGTAGGGAGGGTGGAGGGATATCAGGGGACCTATTCAGGGCAGAGGTCAAACAAAAGTAGCCATGAGTTCAATCATTGTTGAATCTGGGGGCTGATTGGGTATGTGGGAGTTAACTGTGGTCCTCTCCCTATTTTTGTACGCATTTGAAATTTTTTATAATGTAAAGTATTTTAATGCTATTATTAAAAATGTAGAAATTGCCCCAATTTTTAGTGCTGAAGAAACTTTTAAAGATATTAATATTAATGACTATGCTGGTGGGCTCATGCCTATAATCCCAGCACTTTGGGAAGCTGAGGCAGGAGGATCACTTGAGCCCAGGAGTTTGAGACCAGCATGGGGAACATAGCCGGATCTATTATCTACAAAAAATAAAACATTAGCTGGGCATGATGGTGTGCACCTGTGGTTCCAGGTACTTGGGAGGCTGAGGTGAGAGAATCACTTGAGCCTGGGAGGTTGGTGCTGCAGTGAGCCTCGCATGACCATTCCACTGCATTCCAGCGTGGGTGACAGAGCGAGATCCTGTGTCAAAAACAAAAATGACTGATAGAGACCTTTTCTATTATATGTTACAGAGCATAAAGGGTGATTTGCATTGACAGGTTTTTTTAATCTGTCATTAAAATTGTATATGAAGACATGAAGCTTTTCATGTTGATGTAATTGTAGCAAATAAATGTAGAAAGATAGAATATGGCAAGCCCACAATTATCTACGTATTTCTGCATAGCAAAACACATATCATTATAATATGATTTAAATAGGCCATTCTTTGTAACAGATGACTTAAAATATTGTTAAATTGTAGAGGATGTTAATACATTACTAACATGCTGTTGTTTTTCTTTCTAGAGTATGCTTGTTTCACTTTAGATATATGGGGAAAAGAAATATAGCAAGGTAAGTGCCATAGCACTGTCATTTCTACTTTTTCCTTCTCTTCCAACAGAGAGCAATCTTAGTCATGCCATGTAAAACCTAGGTTATATATTTTGAGTTAACATTCAGACACCCGTGATTTAGTTAACATGTCCCAACTGAAAGTTTAAATGAATGGGAACTTTTACATTTTCCAGCTTCCCAAGGGGTGATGATTAAAGTGATATACAGAGTTTCTACCTTGTGAGTTGCTTATCTTTTCTAAAGGAATGGAGAAGGGGCTAGATCCAGGGGAAGCACCTGCACAATTGTAAGGTCTGTGCTTTTGTCTGAAATCTATCAATACTCACCTCAATTACTAAGGTAAACAGAAATCCCCAACAGCGATTGGGACATAAATGATATATTATCTATTTCCTCTTTTTGCCATATAAGTCCTAGTGAAATAAATACTTAAGGAAATATTTGAGAGATTCTAAGGTGAAGAAGATTACTTGCTTATTTCAATGAGATATATTTTAGGGGTGGAGTTAGTCTTTAAAGGACCTCCTCAAAAATAGTTTAAAACATATTTCACTTTTAAGAGGCTGTGTGGATGGTGATTATTGCTGAGTCTCTGGAACGTCCTAAGGATAGGTAGTTTGGGTGGTGAGGGTTCCAATTTCCACCATCTTTTCCCATAACTTGGAGCTGGTACAGCCATCATTACCATGAACCTCAGTCTCTAAGATTTCTGTCAACTATCCCACTATGTTTACTAGAGGATAGACAAACTACTTTTTCCTTAGTCCATGTTGTAATTTTTTAAATGGAAACAACATTAAAGGAAAACAAAAGTTTGTAAATCTTAGCAATAGACAAAGTACAGAAACAGATTTGATTGGCACTCATTTTGAACATCTGATGCTAGAATTTTCCCCTCTCATTTCAACCCTTAGTGAACCTCTGGCTATTTCTTCCCACTCTTGCCCTTCCTCACCTCCTGGAAAAGACTGAATCTTTTTGGAGTGTTAGCCACTTATCTCTGATGTTTTTGAGAAAAAAGAGGGAAGTGGAAGCTCTTTCTAAATTCTTTAATTATATTCACATATGCTATTTTAAAGATACATTAAAACTTCATCCAATTTCTAGTGATACTTCATTTAATCCTTGAGTATACTATTATGTTTATGTGGAAACCTCATGATTTTTTAGTTAAAAAGATTATTACATTGAGATATGTTATTAGAGCACTCCACTACCTGACTTTAACATTTGTTTTAGGGTACATGATGCCTGGCTGTCAAAACACTTTGGAATAGACCGAAAATCGCAAACCATGCCTGCTCTCCGAAACAGATCAGGAGTAATGCAGGCTCGGCTTCAGCATCTTAGTAGCCTAGAAAGTTCATTCACACTTAATCACAGTAAGTGAAAATGTGTGTGGGGTACCCATTTGACCCTAAAGAAGTCCTGGTTTAAATAATAAAAACTTAAGGTGATGGACACCCTAAATATCCTGACTTGATCATTACACATTCTATGCATGTAACAAAATATCACCTGTATCCATTAAATATGTATGAAGAAAAGAAGTCCTGGTTTAAATTGCCAATATGATTAGAAATGACTTCCCATACATACATGTGTTTGCACCTCTCTGCTATGTACTTATATATAATCAATTTCATTGTACATGACTATAAAATGGTAAAATACACATGGATTTTTCAACAATTTTAGATCATGGTGTTTTCTTCTTAGTGTCAAAAAATTAAATTTTTCCCATGAAATTTTTGCTGTTCTCTTATTTTTATATTGGGTATTCTTCATTCCTACTGTTAAACTTTAATGCAAATATTGACATCTTAATATAATAGTATGTGTAATATTTATTTAGTTACATTTGGTCATTTAATGATTAGGGAATGAACATGCTGAGTTGACTACAGAAATCAGTGAACTCTAAATGCTAGTTTGGCAAAGGTGTATTTCAGGCAGGTTGAAGTATTGACAAGGCAAATAGGGCAAGAAGAGAAATCTTGCCCAACTGTGGAAGCTAGAGGATTATATAAATGGAAACTATTCTATGAAAAACAAATATTAATAACAACTCAAAGAGTGAGAATGTTTTGTTTCCACACAGTCCTCTGAAGGTTTCAGAAAAGGAAGCCAGCAAAACTGGCTTTGTGGTAAGACCTAGTAATAAAAGATAATGTCCTGCTAGACCCTGAGCTAATAGACTCAGGACCTTTAAATCTGCATGTTTTAAAGCCATCAGCTTCTTGTAAAAATATGATGAACCTACTTCCTTCCAGTTGCCTCCAAGATACCTTGTTTTCCTTCTGATTTAGAAACAAATCTTGTATAATTGGCATAATCCAAAATGTCTGACCATAAGGCACTACTGTGTATCTGGAGCTGAATTTCTATTCAGTGGTTTCTCATTTTTACCCACATAATTAGTGGCATGACTTAAAAGGCCTCCCTCATTATTTCCTAGTTACATGGCCAGAGTTCATCACTGAAACCTTGTCTCCAAAGAGGTGGGCACCTAATTATGTACTACAGAGCTGTTGATACAGAACTATAATGAAAACTAGTGAAATTGATTAACCTAGACTATATTTGATTAAGGAATTAAATACAGTATGACACTGTGAGCTCCCTTTCTTTTTTTTTTTTTTCTTGTTTTTTTCTTTTCTTTCTTTTTTTTTTTTGAGACAAGAGTCTCACGCTGTCACCCAGGCTGGAGAACAGTGGCACAATCTCAGCTCACTGCAACCTTCACCTCCCAGGTTCAAGCAATTCTCCTGCCTCAGCCTCCCGAGTAGCTGAGATTACAGGTGTGTGCCACCATGCTTGGCTAATTTTTTGTGTTTCTAGTAGAGACAGAGTTTCACCATGCTGACCATGCTGGTCTCGAACTCCTGACCTCATGATCCACCAGCCTCAGCCTCTCAAAGTGTTGGAATTACGCGTGTGAGCCACTGTGCCCAGCTGAGCCCCCTTTCTTCTTGCTTGTCTCTCTCTGAGTCTTTGGGTAGAAAGTCATTCAACACTATTATGTGCATCTTCCTGTTGGGAAAAGTTTAATTTACTTTTTTAATCGTAGGTTCTACAACAACTGAAGCAGACATTTTCCACCAGGCACTTCTTGAAGGCAATACAGCTACTGAAGTTTCCCTAACAGTACTAGATACCATATCATTTTTCACTCAGTGCTTCAAGGTAAAAATGAATAGTTACAATTCAGTTGGTACCGTTGCAAAGAAACATTATACAGAAATTACCTAGTCAGATGTGTGGTAGTGCAGTGAAAAAGGCTGACATGAATAGTCAGGAAAAGTGGATGGCAGTTCTAGTTTGGTTATCATGTGATCCTGGAAATCACTGAGACTGACTTGTGTCATCCATAAAGGAAAGGGAATGGACTAATTTGCCCTTAAACTCCATTCTACCTCTTAAATTCTATTAGATTTTCGTGTTTAATGGGAAGTTTGTTTTCCATACTTTAAATAGCCAGCAATTTTTAGCCCAAAATATGATTGGATCTGTTTCCCCAAATACCCGTTGTGATGAGGTATCCTGTCAGGGTGGATGATGTCCAGGCAGTCTGGCTGGCTTCCCTAGTCAGGCACTTAGTGTTTTTTCTCAGATGTTTGCTTCTCAGTGCAAATCATTACTGCTATGATTTTAAAAAGAAGGTAAAAGCAATTATCTTGTAGGATTATTGGAGAGGGAAATGGGATAATGGATGCGAGAGTGCTTTGAAAAGTAAAAATGATGTGACTATAATGTAAGAACTCAAAGGTGAAAAATCTTGTGTGCTTTCACTTCAGTTATACAGATTTTTTTTTCCCTTTTCTCCCTCTTCTCCAAGTAATTGAGTTAATTGCTTCGGCCCTCTAGATTTTCTATGGAAACCTGGCCTGTGCTTTTCAAACAGGCTTATAAAGAAGAACTGAATTAGATACTAATATGAAATAGACTGTAGAATCCCTTTAATAAATAGGCTACAGATCCCTTTATGAAGTATTAGGTTCATTCTATATTAAAATGCAACACAACTCCATTTTTCATCATGCCAATAAATAAGAAAGCCATTAGATCTCATGGTGTACATTGTATTCCTTCCTCCTATTCTGATACCTCTTCTTTATTTAACAAACATTTATATAATCTCTTGGTAGGTGTCAGGTACTATCTTAAGTGCTTTACAAATATTAACTCACTTTTTCATTGTAAGGCTGGGAATGAAAAAGGGGAGTCATCTTTTTGAAACAGTGGAAATGTTCTAAAATTAGATGGTGGTGATCATCCAACTCTGTTGCTGAATTTACTAACTGTAATTTAATTGTATACCTGAATCTGGTGAATTTTATGGTATATAAGTTATATCTCAATAACTTAAAAATACAAATATGAACCCACTGTTAATCCTCATAATAACCTTATGATGTAGATACTGTTATCATTCCCTTTTGAAAATGAGGAAACTGGGGCCCACAGGAGGCTAATGTCACATAGCTGGGCAGTGGCAGAATCAGGATTGAGATCTAGGCCAGTTATGAGAGAGCATGATTCTAGCCACTATACCATGCTTCGAAATATATTAAGGAAAATGCCAGAAAAATCAAACACCATTCAGGGATTCCAGCTGTCAGTATTATCATTAGATTGTTGTTGTTTTGGGTTTTGTTGTTTCTCGCCAAGTTGTAACCTACTGGTTAATTTCTTGAGGGATAGCAGGATAGGGCTGGAGAAACTAACCATTGCTGATTAAAACAAAGTTGACAAACTAATAGGTATTTCTCTACAATTTGTTGTTTCTTTGCAGGGAGCATTTAAACAATTTACATAGTCTGTTCAATTGTGATACCTGTTAATTGCCTGTACTCAAAGAGGGTTTAATTTGTCTTGAATGGCTAACCATATATTAAACATACTTTTAAAGTAAATTTAGATCATAATCTTATAAAATAGAATTGGTATTTTCATTCATTCATACATTACAATATTTGGTCTCTCTCAAAGAAATACAAAGGCTGATTGGCTTGTATTCACTTTTAATTTATTGATTTCTTAATTGAGAAGCAATGTGGTATAGGTTAATAGAAAATAATATACTCTTCCCATAGTAGTCCTATATATTGCTGTGTTGCATTGAAAAAAAATTGCACCTGTTTAAAATGTTGGGATTAAGTATTCTACATGTCCTTTATGTAGTATTTGTTTGAGATTTCCAAGTTGAAAGATGGCACAAATATTTTGAAATTATTTGTAAGAGCCTTTTATTTTCCTGAAACTTCCAAACAGTGGTTTTTATAAACAGGTTTTGGTGAAATCAGTTCTCTCATTCTCAGTGAGGCATAAACCATATTTTTTAATGTTTTATAGACCCAACTTTTAAATAATGATGGCCACAACCCATTAATGAAAAAAGTGTTTGATATCCATCTTGCTTTTCTTAAAAATGGACAATCTGAAGTATCGCTGAAACATGTATTTGCCTCACTGAGAGCCTTCATCAGTAAGGTAAGGATAGAAGCTTGGGAGCAGCTGGTGGGCTCCCTTCATTGCAAAAAGGAGAGAAGGGAAAATGGGGATCATTGTGGTGACATACATGATGCCAGCTGGTGAAGCCATTATGTGCTACCTTTGTAAATAGAAATATAGAGCAACAAATTACAGACAGAGGGCCTGACCATAGACCCCCTCAAATCAGAAGCTACTTTTTATTTCACCCCATCATACCTAGAGGGAGGCACACACACATCAAGATACACATACACAGAAACAAATACCATTGGGTTAAAATAAGTCTGTATAGACCACTGGAGGTGGGCAAGAGAAACACTCTAATTTAGTAAAAGTGTTTCTGTAGCAATGGAACTAGGATTTAATGTGGATTCAGCAAGAGATGAGACTAAAAATGCAAATGGAGTACAGATCATGTGGACTCATCTTAAGAGTTGGATTTCATCTTTTAGGCATCAGGTTCATGGAAGGGTTTTAAGCAGGGAAGTAACACAATTAGATTTGTATTAAGAGGGAATTGGTAAGGACAGGGGAACATCTTTTTAAACGTTCTGTGGAAGATGGATTGGTGAGACTATCAAAGGCAATAAAAAGACTAGTTGCAATAAGCTAGATAAGAAATGAGGGCTTGAAGTAATGAGGTGACAGAGAATATATAAGAGTCAAAGGCAGATGAGACATGTTGAGGTAGGATTTACAGGATTTAGTCATCAATCCACTGATAGTATGGTGGAGTGTGGTGGTTGATGTGAAATACAGGGGAAAGACTACATTTGCAGTAAAAGTTAATGAGTCCTGTTATATAGATCTGTTGAATTTGAGTACCTATGGGGCATTAGGATATATGGATCTTTGCTCTGTAGAGGGATCAGATTGGAGAGCCAGACTTGGAGTCACTCTCCATTCATCCATACTATATTTATTGAGCACCTTCTCTGTGTCAAGTGCTGTACTAGGTCCTGGAGATACAATGGAGATACAAAATATACCCTTTGCCCTCATGAAGAATTCGGCCTTAGTGGGGATAGGGGAGACAGAAAATAAATAATAAAAGAATCAGTAATTATAGGCCGGGCACAGTTGCTCACTCCTGTAATCCCAGCACTTTGGGAGGCCGAGGCGGGCGGATCACCTGAGGTCAGGAGTTTGAGACCAGCCTGGCCAACATAGTGAAACCCCATCTCTACTAAAAATACAAAAATTAGCCGGG